CCCCCCCCCCTTTTTTTTTTAAATGCTTATTTAGTTTTGAGAGAGAGGGAGAGGGAGGGGCAGAGACACAAACACACACACACACACACACACACACACACACACACACACAGAATTCAAAGCAGGCTCCAGGCTCTGAGCTGTCAGCACAGAGCTCGATGTGGAGCTCCAACTCACAAACCATGAGATCATGACCTGAGCAAAATCAGATGCTTAACCAACTGAGCCACCCAGGCGCCCCTGGTCCAACTCCTTATTTGAGTTTCATGGGACAGTGAGATTGTCTGCTGATCTTGGTCTTTTTTTTTTAAGCTTATTTATTTATTTTGAGATGGAGCACGTGCACTTCCACACGTGCATGAGCAGGGGAGGGATAGAGAGAGAGGGAAAGACAGAATCCCAAGCAGGCTCTATGCTCAGCGCAGCACCCAACTCAGGGCTCTATCTCATGAACTGTGAGATCATGACCTAGCTGAAACCAACAGTCAGACACTTAACCAACTGAGCCACCATACGTCCCTGTTCTTGGTCTTTTGATCTGTATCAATTTGAGAATTGGCTAAGCAAGAACTAAGAAAGGCTGTTGAGTTTTTGATTGGAATTTCATTGAATTAATGAGTCAATTTGGAGCAAGAAGCCATCTTTACAGAACGGAGTCCTCCCTTCTGTTGACATGGTGTATGCATTTCTATTTATTTAGGTATTCATGAACAGTTTCCATTAATTTATTAATGTCTTGAATATATAGATTTGATCTTAGGTAACTTACAGTTTCCTTGTTATTGTAAATGGTTTCTTTAAGAAGTTATTTTCTCTTTTTTTTAATCAGTAAGGAAATAATTTTTTTCATAGACAGATATTAAAAGGTAAGCAATCCAAGGCTGGTTTGGCACATGCAATCATGCTGTGGAAGGCACAGGCTCCTTGGGTCTTCCTTTGCACCATCTCCAGCCTGTGGATGGTACCCTCCTCGTTATAAGACAGCTCTTCCAGCTGGAAGTACAGGTTCCTGCTTCTGGGAGAGAATGAATAAAATGGGAGAAGGAACAAGTTCTGCTGAATTGACCACTAGTGGCCTTTTCTTCTGTAGGAATGCTCTCTGCCTTAAAGTCTGATTTTAACAGAGCCAGAGCAATTTAATTCTTATATAACAAAATATTTGTATTATATATAAAATGTGTAATTGTTTAAAAATGTTTTTAATGTTTTTATTTTTTAATTTTTTTTCAACATTTATTTATTTTTGGGAC